CTGCTTCTTTTAAAACTCATTGAAGGTGTTTTTCTTTTGATTGTTATTTTTTTGGTCACCTTAGAAAAATGTCAATAGCAGGTTGTTCTTCTGATAAATACAGCAGAAGACAGACAGACATAGAAAGCAACGAGTTTTAGGTGGGGTTATTGTTATAATCACCTCTCACTTCACATGGAAATCCAGTCTTCGTTTCCAATGGCATGTAGCTTTGCTAAGTTGAAACATGCAGACCCGTGGTCATTGCTCTTATCTTCTGGCCTGTATTTGTGCAGTTAAGCTTCCCAGTGCCTCTGGATCTGTTTAGTTATGCTTCAGCCTGTGATTAAGTGCTACTTTCCTTACAGTTCCTATGAGTAATTTGAGTTCTTTGCTGAACTAAGGAGATCCTTTTTACTGTGTCTTTTGTGTCTGTTATACTCTATTGTCTAATTCCATGGGTGCCCTCCCTAGCTAAACACAGGCAGGTTAGGTAAGGAACCTGCCCCGTGCAGATGCTGATGGCAGCGGAAGAGGTTAGGTGTGTGGCATGACACTGCATGGGAGCAGGAATGGACTGGGAAAAGCGGAAATAGGCAGAATTCATTGGGATACCACTGTCTAGGAAGAGACTAAAATTGGCGAAGAAAACAAAGGAAGACAGAAAACGGCTGCTCGAGGGCCCTGGGATTGATAATCGCTTAAACAAGGGCAGTGATGGGAAGGAGCTCTGGTGGATGGACCAGAGTGCAGGGAGGAAAAATGGGTAAGGAAATGTAGTCATGAAGCAAGGGAGGAAAGGGAAGGAATATCCTGGATCTGTGTTGATGAGCAGGGCCACTTAGATAAGGTCTAGGAGTCACTGAGGAGACAAACATGGGCCAAAACAAAATTGAGGAAGAAAGTAAATTAGATTGGTGGCTAGGAAGAAAAGGTAGATTGAGGCACAGGTAGACAAGGAGACCAAAGCTAGAAGCCTGTATAGGAAGGGGAGCAAACTTTTTGAGCTGTCAGCCTGAGATTTGCTGGGTAAAGGGCCTGAGATTAAGAACAGTAGCTTGTTACACAGCAAAAATGAGCAATGTGAGCAGAAATGTGGCTGCGAGAGGGAATAAAGGATCAAGCAGGGCCCATTACAAAGTCAGAGCAACCTTTCAGCCAGAAATTAAACAGAAATTAAAATTCCGATTCTCACTTTTGTGCTTGGCCACTGTCTTGCCACATGTCCTTTTCTTCTTCTCTTGCACAGGGCAACAGTAAGTTTTATTAGTTCAAGTGATCTACATAATACATGCAAAAGTTCAGCTCTTTGGTGTAGCTTTTTAATTCACTTTTTTAATTTAGGAAGTTAAACGTACTAAATATTTAAGTTGTGGCACGTTATTAAGGTTCTCTGCAAGATCAAATTGGCCCTTTTGCATATTAATTACAATACAGCTGTTAACTGCACGTTCTGGTACGTGTCTTTATATTTGTATTTCTGTTTGGTTTTAAATTTTTGCATTTGATATTGCATAGAAAAACAGATTGACTTTTAGGAATTGAATGTTTATTCATTGACTGTCAAACTGTCTTTAGGTATTTTGGGTATCCATTCGTTATCTGCTTATGATAGTATCAAATTGGTAATTATCTGTTTTAACACAGCTATTTTACCCAATAATCATATTTTCTAGTGCAAAAATTTCATCAGATTTTCTTAGTGGAAACAATCAGTCTGATATTCCAGAAATGATATAAAGCTGTGTGATAAGTGAGTAGTTTCTCCTCCTCGTGCAAATTTAACACTGAGAAATCATTTAAAAGTGATTTTAAAAAACATTAAAGTGTTGTTCATACGCTTGTTGTGTTTTTGTTTGGGATTGTTTAGTTACTGTAGTTTAAAGGTACTATTTAAAGAAACTATCTTTTTAAGCACACTGGCGTTAACACACAGACTATAGCAGAAACGAGACATCGTGCAGTCACCGAAGGAGAAATTAGTTGTTTGTAGTTGGTGCTCACTGATCATCAGCTGTAATGCCGATAAGATGTGCAGAAAGCCCATCGTATCCTAAAGGAACTGAGCTCAGAGTGCCTTATGAGGAGTACAGTGGTTGACCCACTGTGCTATGGGGGAGGAACAGCAACCGATGGCTGACGTGTCACTTGTGAACATTGCCTTACAGAAATCAGGAATGGGAATCTAAAGGCCATCTTGGGCCTTTTCTTCAGTTTATCCCGATACAAGCAACAGCAACAGCAGCCACAGAAACAGCAACTGCACCACCATCCATCCCAGCAACCTCCCCCAGTATCCCAGCAAGTAGGGTCTCCATCCCAGTGCCAGGTCGGGGTACCACAGCAGCCGGTGCCAGCTTCGCTCCAGACTCCGTGCCAACAGCCCCTGCAAGCTGCGCAGCATCAGTTCAAAGCACAACCAGAAATGCAGTCAAGGTGGGGAAACTTCCTTTATGTTGGTGGCTTTGTTTTTTTTATTCATTGTTTATTTCTATTTTTTCTTCTTGTTAAAGGTCTTCAAAAGGCAAAGAAACTTCTTTCTTTAGTTCTACTCTAGAATAAAGAGTGTGTTGGAAATTGAATGCTGGGTAGCAATTGACGTCATACCTTTGGAAATCAAAACAGATGTGCTTAAATATGTTCTCAGTGTTGGAAATATGCAGTTCTACAAGTATAAAATACCTGCTAGTCCAAGTAACCACAGTGTTCTATAAGGACGTTTTTCTCAGTTTTTCTTCTGCTTCTTTCTACTCACAAAGCACGTATATCGTTGCCATTACAGAATATATACTTTAGGCATGTGAAAACCAACTTAGGTTCTCAGTTTACAAGAATTTCAGTCCTAAGAAATGGAGAGCTCTGACAGTGGTAGAAGAAATAGAGCTTATCACAGCTGGTGACAGTCAAAATCAAATCTAGGCTTATTGGTCAAAAAGAACTTGCTGCCAGCTTACATGAAAAATAATTTGCACAACTGGTGTTTGTTGGCTCTCGTAGATCAGAATGTAGATGAACAGAGGGTGTCTTTGTCCCTCGAATGTCTTTAATCCTAGGGGTGCTCTTCCCAGGTTAGAATAAAAGCAATTTATGAAAGTAGTACCACCACAAATACATGTACAGCCTTCTGCTTCTCTGACCCTTCCACTGCTCAGAGAGTGAGAGTTTCAGTGGGAATAAGTGGCTGAAGCCATATTTGCACAATTCCTAAAGTATGAAGGCTTTTCTTTTTTTTTTTTTTTTTAAACTACTGAGAGCTTATTTGGTTTTTGCTTATGTCTGTCTTTATGAATCATGCTCATTTTGGGTTGAAACAATGTTTTTGTGTAACTGAAAAACATAATGTTTCTACAGTATATATAAACTTGTACAGGAAATAATTACTGTGAACCAAAGATACATTTGAGCATATTTCTGTGACTTTTCTGTCAAAAACATGCAGAGATGTATGAGACTATTGGAATATTGCTTTGATATTTTCAGTCCATTGTGTGGATTGTGCTGGGTTTCAAATACTTTAAAAATATCTAACCTGAAGGTCTTAAATGTCATGTTTTCTCAGTATATATTAAAGTGAAATTGTTCAGATTCTGCAGAAAAATACATATAATAAAAGACTGAGAAAGAAAAGAGTAATAAAGTTGGAGTTTGCGCGTAGAATTACATGTTTATTACTTTATAAAAATTTATTCATTTTAGATTTTAGGTGTTTTGACATAAAGTTATACTTAGACAAGAAGCTTTTTTTTTCCCTGTGAAATTCACAAAATCTCTTTTGTCCCCAAAACTACTTACTAAGTTCAGTGGCTAAAAAAAAACAAACAAACAAACAAACAAACAAACAAGTTTCTTGGTTCAATGTTCTGTTCCACTTTTTCTTTCCTGTCATACAGTGCATCTCCCAGGGACTCATCTCAAAGCAAAATCATCCGATTCACTCTTGGTCAGAAAAAGTCTTCTAGGTTAGAATTTCTTCATCTTCTGCAAAGCATGAATAATCCTTTTGCAATTTTTCTGGATGCATGTTAAGGGTTGCTGTTGAAAATAGTTTGCAACTAGGTGTTTTGCAAACAGCTGAAACATGGAAATGTTAGAATGGACTTTATTTTTTTTCTTTTTTTTTTCAAGGTATGGAATGCATTTTGGCCTGCAAGAAAATAATTTGATTTTCTTGTCCTTATGAGCTTTTGCTTTTGAGAACAAAACATGGTTCTGGGAGTTCTCTCCCCTCTGTACACGTCTGTATTAGTTGCATTTAGATCTGCATTGTTGAAACTAGCATCAGGCTAGCATCTTAGCTAGTAAAGAGAGCATCATGTGCACCATCTAGGGTGCACCACTAGAGCTCCTGCACTCCCCAGTGCTCTGAAACTGAGCACATTTAAGCTGGCATGATTGATAGGTATTTCAGTCTATTTTATTTCCTGAATCCCAGCATGACTTGCATGCCAGCTCGTATGACCATCTCATCTCAGTGATCATGAGGTTTGCTGTGTTATTCATGTGATTATTAATGATGTTTACTTTTACTACTACTGTATATTAAAATCTTTTACTAGGAATTTTTATATGGTTATATATTGGTAAATTATACTTTTCCATTTTTGCTAAGCTTGTGAACAATTACTTATGATTTTTATTCAGCTTGGCAAGTTTGTATAGATTGCTAGTTCTGCTGTATAATTTGGATTTATTTCCCCCATCTTATTTCTTTTACGACAACAGTGAAAGTCTGCAGTATAACCTCTGTTAAAATGTTCCACATTTCCTTTTCATGTTCTCTCTTGATCATAATTACGGCTTGACAGTTCGTATTTGTCTAGAAGAGGTGCTGAAGAGTAGTAAAGGAGAGTGTTCTCTGAGCTCAGTACTTTATCTCTAATAGCAGGAAGCTAGAAACATCTCCTTAAATTTATTTTTTTTCTCTAGATTTCACAGGCACTGCTGTGAAATATCTTGGCCTGATACCAAAAGCAGGAGCTTAAAATCAGTCAGTTAAACTACAGGGGGGGAAAAAAAGTCAAAGAGAAATGATATCTTCTTCAAGAGTGTTTTTAGCACATATTTTTTTTTTTATTCTCAGTATGTTTTTATTGGCAGTGACAATACTGACTTGAATTGAAAAGTTGTCACTTCTTGAGTGGTTCCATGATTTGAGTAGCTTTATTTACTTTAAAATGTGACAGATTTGCAAAACCTGTGTGGGCATGTGTGGAGAGCCTTTTCTTATGCATCGATACAAGAACATGATCCCTTCCCTCCTGCCAAGCCCTGCTGGAAAACTCCCCTCCCAGTACCAAGGGCTCTAGTAGCCTTCCTGTGGTGGTTGGCCCATACTCACAATGTTTTATCACTGGGTAGAAACTTTCAGCTGAGATATCTTTTCCATCCTTCCTACCTGTAGGAAACCCAGCTCATTTCCTGTTAAGCAAAACAAACTCTTAATGGACTTGCTTGTCTTGGTGACTTCCAAGTTCTCAAGAACAGCATTTGTCCCTGGTTTGCCTCTGCTTCTTCCTATGTAGTCTTCTCTATGGTGGATGAAGCATCTCGGAAGTGTTCTCATTTACACCTTGCTGCAGTGATGAGTATGTACAACTTTCTAGCACACCTCTAGTGTTGAAAAAGGCTGGATAAATTTGAGGGGCTCATCTAAAAGGCTTCAGCAAAGTCAACCTCAGAACCATGATGTGCTGGGCCAAATCCGTGGTGGTTTGAGTTTGTAAATTAATTTCTAGTTTTGTATTTGTATGATGCCCATATGTCTTATCCTGTTCTGAGCTTTGAAAGCATGTGCATGCAGCTGCTGACATTTTTGCTCTTTTCCTTTACGTTTCTTTTCATATTTCCTATTTCTTCACTGGGCTTAGAGAAGTCAGTTTATATAGGAAGCCCTGCCAGACTCCTTCCTGGCTTCTCTTCCTTCCCATAGGCACAACAGTGGTTTGGTCGGTTGCATCCTCATTCTCTCTGATGACTGGGACTTCTTCATTTTAGCTTGTTATTGGCACAAGTTATTTAAGACAATTAGATGTTTGTGTTTTATATAATGAAGTTTTAAAGAGATTCTATCATACAGGAAATACAAAGATGGCAAAGAGTGGTCCCTTTTGTTGCTACTGTGGGTGACATGAACTGATTCTGTCTTTAATGTGATGTCCTTGCTTTTCAAAACAGTGAGCTGTTTCACTGACTCTCTTCAGTATACATTTTGAGCAACTACCAAATCTTTCAATTTTTAATATTTCATCAGTTTGGAATGTAGAAATATGTGCTCATTAGTGCACAAAATACAGTGCAAACATGGAAACTTTATGTATGAACTTTGACTTTGACGACCTCAAACACACCTATTGTTCTGAAATGTGATGCCAATGGCTTTTTAAAAAAGTCTTGCTCCCCTTTTGCCTGAAAAGCGTGAAAGTAGTATCCCTCCCTGTCTACTTAGTCCAGAATCCTAACTATGGGGTTTTTTCTAAGCTAAATCTTGTAAATACAGGCTACAGTAAGGAAATGCTGGATGAGATTGACTCAGTTTAAACCAGAGACTTAAACCACCTCACTGATAATGTGGTTGCCCTAAGAGGGGGAACTTAAGCTTTGCATGATTTTTTTTTATAGGCTCAAATAGTTAAAGCAAGTTAAAGTCTCACTGGACTTGGCTGCTAGGCTTTGTAGTTTTCAGAGCAGAGATGTGTGTGGGAAAAGGCAGCCATGATCTGTCTTGTTATTTCCAAAATAAGAATAGCCCTTACGTGTCCAGCATATATATAATATGTGTCCAGCAATCTGGTTTTAAGAACAGTAGTGTCTCACTTAGCCTTAATCTTGTTCCAGTGGTATTGCTCCACCAAATTTACCTGCAGCTAATTCTAATTCACAAGATTTATTGCAAGTGATCATTAATTTTGTTTCAGGATTTTTTTTCTGACATCAAACAATTCATACCGCAGCTTGTTTGCCTATAATTTTCATCTAGGATGATTTTTTGATTTGTTCTTATAAAAACTCAGACTATTATGAGTATATATTTGTGGTATTGATCCTTTTATTTTCAGCTTATGCATGGTATTGCATAGTTTCTTGCCCAGAGTGCTATTTAAATATATTTAATCATATAATTCTTTCGTCAGACTTCCAGGCCCCACCACGAGGGTGTCCGCTGCGGGCAGTGAGGCCAAAGCTCGTGGTTCTCTTAGTGCCAACAATCGACGCAGCCAGAGCTTTAACAATTACGACAAATCCAAGCCTGGACTTCCCCCTCCAGCACCAACAAGTAGCAATGACAAAGGTAAGCACCTGAGATTTTGACATCCTCAGATTTTTCTTAATAGTGGCTTTGGGGGAAATTGAATTTTCCATTAAGTTCCAGAAGTTGCAAGACTATGTCAAAGCTGTGTGTTGTAAACATGACTCCTATTTGCAATCCAAAAACCAGCTGGCTTTTCTTGAGAAAGGTATAGTCCTTTATTATAGCTGAAGCTGTGACTTGCTGTCCTGAAGGTACAAGGAAAAAATAACTTCAAGAAAAATTGGCACTGCTGAAACATGTTTTTTCCATTTTGCTTCAAGCACAGATAAGGGGGAGTGAATTAATAAAAAAATAAGACATTTTGATGAGTGGTTTGACAAGAATTGAAAATGACCACTAAAGATTTCTTCAGTGTTTTTGTATGATAAATAGTAGCATTTGCTTTCCTTTCCTCCACTACTGTGGAAGATCCTTGAAGTTACAAAAGTACATGATTTAAGTCTAATTTCAAGAATCGGATAGTGTAGGGTTTGAAAGCAGGAACATGTTTCATAAACGGTGCAGTGAAAATGCGTCTATGGCAGCGCATCAAAAACACGAAGTACCCTGTTCTGTCAGAAGAGCTGCTTTTTTGAATGACATTTACTGCCTTTGTGTCCATTCACTAAGCTAATAATGTGACAGCATTCATTAGCTTGAGTCTGTAGCTCGGAGCTCAGTAACGCAGCATTTACCAGCAGAGTTTTGGGGAATGTGACTGGTGAGAACTGAGCAATTCACTCCGGTCTCATGTGGACAAATCATTGGCATAGGCTGGCAGATAATTCAGTATCCTTAACAAAGTCATTGTCCTTACAAAAATAGATCAGCATTGGATTTCAGTACCATCTTCTTGCAGTCACTTGGCAGTCAAGCCCTTTAGGCTGAAGTCTCCTTGTTGTCCGTGCATAATTCGTATGAACAGTACAAGGATCTTGCTTGAGGGAAAAGTACTGGTCTGGTTCAACTTGCCTGTGGTTCTCATGGTTGTTTCTTTTCAGGAAATTGTGTTTTACCTTCTCTAGAAACTGTTGTCCTATGACTGCATGTTGTTAGATTTTGGAATACTGCCCCATGAAGCCATTACAGCCCAAAACCTCATCTTGTGATGATGGCAATGGAGGGGCCTCAGCATCCTCCAGAGACATCCTGAATCACCCTGATCAGATCTTGAATAAGAAGAAAATTACATTCACAGCTGAATAATAGTAATTATTGTAATTAAATTATATTATAATATATGAGCATAAAAAGCTAATAAATTAGCAACATACTACCTAGGTAAATCCATGCTTACTATTTCAGAAGGTACACTTTGTAAACAGTAATGATTTAACTGTACCATCAGCATGTAGTAGTCATCTCTAAACCTGAATTAGATCTGGCTTTCAGTAAAAAGAAAAAGCTGACATATTATGGCATGAGCAATAGAACCGATGAAACCTTGTTTTCTTGTGTGACATCTCCCCAGTCTGCCTGTCTCCTCCTTGTCGATACTCTTTTCCTCATGTCCCATAACTACTGGACTGGGGACATGCAATGTAGGATGTGTTTCGTCCTGACGTGTGTGTCAGTTGGCTAGATGATCCATCCTTACCTGCATGTGGATGGTAAGCTGTTAGACTGTGTTGAAGAGAGAACTTGAGCTATCTTGGCTTTTTCTCAGTTTACCAAGATTACTAAATAAGGAGAAAAAGGGAAAAAAGAAAAAGAAGAAAGGAAAAGTCTTCACACATATAGAGATAAAATAATAATTTGTCAACTGAGTAACTTAAATATCAGCTGCTTTTAGGCAGATACTTCTATGAACCCTCATTCCTCATTGTAACCCATCTCTTCAGAAAGATAAACTAGTTGCTGAAGAAACATAGCATATCATCTGCTTCATATGAATCTTAAAAATGACTAAAAGAAAAAAGATTTTAGGTTGACAGCCTACATAGGTTGCATTAAATACTCAGAATTTTGCTCTGGTCAAAATTTCCAGTCATAAATTATGTCCTTATAAACAAAAAAAAAGAGGGCTTATGTAAAGTGAACTTGAACTTTATTTAAAAATATGACACAAAGTTGGTCTGCGTCCATGAGAAACAAAAGCAGTTGGTCTGACAAATTTTTGGCTTATTTTAAGTTAATTGTAACATTGCCAGACAAAGTTTATTGTCAAAGTGCTAAGACAATTCAAGTTTTTTGACCCGTATCCTGTATTTTGCCTGAGGAAATGAGACTTACATGAGCATGTTGTGTGCCGGCCTTGGTAAGTTTTCATCTTTTTACCCAGTAGTAGTTCTGTTGCATGTTTTTGGAGGAAGAAGTGGGAGAAAGAAATCTGCCTGTTTGCCAGACTGTTTTGTCAGGAGTGATCACTTTGGGATAGAAGGTGACCTTCAGTGTATTCCATTTGAATCATTTCTTACAAAGTAGGTTGTAATTTTCAGCGTTTATTAATGTGTGGCCTTTCTCTCCAAACGTGAATTGTCTTGTTAGTCAGTCGTCTGTGTCTTGTGGCAATCAAAGTGTGTTAATTGAAACAGAATACATCAGAAATGAAAAGGACAGTAAATGGAGCATGGAGGAATAGCTAGTTACTGGAAAATAAATAACCTAGATTTTTTGAAAGATTCTATTAATGAATTAATGATGAGACCACTGATTTTCTAGAAATCTCGGGGAAAGGATTTATCTAACATCAGAAGCAATTACACTGTTGCATAAAAGTGAGAGATTCTTGGATGCATGCATGTTTGCTGTGAGAGCCACACGTATTCTTAGCAACGGCATGCATGTAAAAAGATGTGTGTCTTGCTTCCCCAAAGCTTATGTTGTGTCTTCAGTGTTTTATTTTGCTTTCTAAGCCTTGAAACGCTGTCTGACACCGGTTTTGAGATGTGGAGAAAGGGATATGTCTTCTCTACTAAGGACGACTTAAACACACCTAGTTCAGTCCTATGGACACCTGCTTTGAGGTTAGGCTATGATAGGTTTAACTTGCTTTTTCGAGTTAGCCCCATAGTTTATATGTGAAATCCCTTTCAAACTTATAGGAATTTCAGTGCATTAATTCCTCACATCATAAAATGGTGACGTGCTGTGGTACTTTTATATTTGTTGACACAGTGATTAGCCATTTATAATTGCAGTAACATTCTAGGCAGGCTGTTTTAATGTGTGTAATTGCTGTTACAGGCTTTTTTTCTTCAGAAAAAAAGCAGTTAAAGTCTAATTGCATTTTTGGATTGTGGGGAAATAATGAGCCACTCAGGCTTGTGATTTTTTTATGTCATCATAATCCCTTCATACAATTGGAGCCTTTTAATTCACTTCTGAATTGTCAGAGTTATTTAGTCCATGCATATATAAGTATACTTTTGGTTTACTTTCTTGTCCTTTAATATCCTTTAACACCACAAGCATACTATACCTGAAAAGCATCAGCCACCTCCCAAGGTCACTAATGAACTCATCTAAATTATCAGAAATATTTCTAAGGAATGTAAAGAGACAAATGAGCTTTGTGTTTCTATGCCTCTATGTTAAACTATTAGTTACTAGTTGTCTTGAGGCTGCACATTACCGTGTTCTTCCAATTGTCTCATATGATCACCAAATAAAACATAGCTAAAATTTTATTTATGTGTGTAATTTAGAATAAAGAAATCTGGTTTTTGTCCATGGCAAGAAGGAGAACAACTTTGTCCGTGGTAGTACCAAGAATGAAACTTGAATATTGAAGCATACAACTGCAGTAAAGACTTTCTCAGGATTTTTTTTCAGTTTACTACACACTGAGAGTCTTTTGAGACATGCTTTGAAAGCAGTCTACAGTTCTGAAAAATGGTGAGTGTTTTTGACTACTTCTGTACACCCTCATATATCCCTGTCTGCACTTATCTTCAGGCACTCATTTTTCATTTTGCAGTCTCAAAAGTCTAGTTACATTGTATGGGAATATTCTGCTTATTACTTCCTGATTTGTATCCACAGTCTAGAAAATCCCTAAACTTACAAAACTATAGGAAATGTCAACTTAATATGCCATGTCCAGTATGTTTATGAAGTGGTATAGTAATGGGACTGGCTTACATGCTTTTTGTTAAGTTTTTTCTTCTACTCTGTTCCTGATACTTTATTTAAAATAATCCTAAAGAGGGCAGTAGAAGTCTATGGGAAATATGTCACTTTTTCTTTGGATTGAATGTTAGGCAAGATGTCAGTAGGAAAAAAACACTACCAAACTTTGATGATTTCCACATGAGATCAAAGAAAACATTTATTATTCAGATTTATGAAGAAGGTAGTGCTAATAATGTCATTTTTTTCTTAAATAGGTAGTATTAGGGGGAAAAAAAAAAGAATACATGCATATGAATTCATGCGCTCAGATGAAATAAATAACTGTTTTAATAGCGATGTTCTTGCAAACTTACTTGATACGAGTCTTATGAGAGGGTTCTGAAACCAGATCCTGCTGATTCAGCTATAATCTTAGCTGTCTTAAATGTCTTAGCTTAATCTTAAATGTCTCAGTTTCCAGATATGGTTATACCATACAGGCAGGAAACCAAGAAAAACGTGTGCTCCTCTGGTTGATGCTTCTTTATTTCTTTCCAATTTCGGGTAATCCCTTTTAACTTGGAACACACTATATATTTAATCACTGTATTTTAATATGTAAAGGCTAGTCACCATATTCGCAAGGATGCATGGTGACAGGACAAGAGGTAATGGGCACAAGTTCCTTCAGGGGAATTTCTATCTGGCAATAGGAATAAAATTCTTCACTGTGAGAAGAATTGAACATTAGAGAAGTTTGTCCAGAGAAGTGGTGGGTCTCCCTTGCTGGAGGTATTCAGGACTTGCCTTGACAGAACCCTTGGAAACCTCATCCAAGGCCCTTCTTTCAAATGAAGGTGGAAAGAATCATCTCCAGAGATTTCTTCATAGACTGTTTTATGATTTTTGTAAGTTAAGGTTAGTTTCTCAGGGTGTTAAAAGTATAC